TTATTATTATTATTACAATGTATTCCTTTCCTTTCTGTTTTGCTTTTTTTGTGTTAAGAGAATATGACAGGCCGCAGAAGAAAACTGCCAAAGAGGACTAGTGATGGGAGGGAAAAGGGGAAGATGGGAGAGGAGGCAACTTTTTGCATCCTCTGGGTTCCTGGGGACTATCTGCCTTCCCCAAGCACAGGGCAGCAGGAGCCCCCACACCTCCTCACAGGCTGGGGGGCACAAGCACCCCTGAGGAGGTGGGGAAACGCCGTGACTTCCCTCTTTGGGTGAATTCACAGCGTCTCACCTATGACTGGCACTGGGCTCTGGGTCAGCAAAGGTCAGCCCATGGCCAAGCTCCCCAGGGATGAAAAGGTTCAGGACCAGGTCCCTCCATGCCCCCAACAAGTTACCAGGTGGCCACCAGGTTTTGGGGCAAGCACAGGGACCGGTGAGGACCCTCCTCAGCAGGTGGACAAGGGAAGGTTTCTGAAAGCATCTCCTCCGGTGTCCCATAGACCCAGCCCATGTCATTAACTCCTACAGGTCATTTCAAACACACAGCAGACATTTGCTGATGGAACTGCTGGGATGGAGCTTCTTCGATAGGTTTTGTCAGTTGGCTCTTTTTTTTCCAGATGAAAAACACCAGTCGTCCCACATTCAGGCCCAAATGAATGTCACCACTCGCAGCCATAATGATGAAAGCTGGGAACACACCTCTCACTGACGCCTTTCCTTTGGTCACCTTCCCTGCGATGGGACATGCATCCTGTCTGGCATGACTCTGTGGATCTCTTAAGTAGGTGCGTGGTTTTGGTTCCTCTATGTGTGTGTTTGGCTTGTGTTGAGTTTTTAGGGGTTTTGTTGGGGTACTTTTGTTGTTTGCTGCTTTCCTCCAAAATTCCAACCCTTTTCCCCCCCCAAATTCACTTCCCTCTCCCACAATGCACTTCCTCACACTCCTTCTCGGATCAGCTCCAAGTCCTTCTCCAAAATTCAAGAATCACCCGCAAGCACCAGCTCATCTCTTCTGTCCGGAGCCAAGCATGACCCTGGAGACAAAGTTGACGATGGCTGCAGCTGGCTGGTCTGGGTCCAGCTCAGCAAAGAGGTGGCAGATGTTGTCCGTGGTGCTCCCTTGCTTCCTGGCTACAAAGCCGAAGAGCCTGGGTGGGGACAAGGCAAGAGGCTCAACAAGGTTTGCCAACATTGCTCCCACAAGGAGCACCACCACCCTTTTCCAGCATGGTCTTGTCCAACCTCCCCACTTTAACATCCACCTCTCACAGCACAGAGGGATACATCTCAAACCACCATGCGTGAAGGCCCATTTCCTTTTTCCTTTGCTGCAGTTTCTTCGAAGGCCAGCACCACATTTCCATCATCTCTTGGCCAAACCCCACCTTGTTCTGACCACCTCTGTGACCCTTCCCTAGTCCATCCCCAAGAAGAGACCTTCCAGATGATTACAGCACTGTCTTGGTTTGGGTGATGACTCCTGAAGCCAGAGATGTGAGGCGCTGGCCACTGGGGTAGACCCTCTATGAGAGGAAGGCCATACAGGGACACAGGGAGCTGGGTGAAACCATCTGCTTATTTCTGTCTGTCTCTCTCCTGATAAATAAAATGTCCCTTTTTTTTAATTAGAACATGCAAACTCAAGTTATAAATACAGGGGGAACAGAATGTGAGACAGGCCCAGGCTACGGCATTTCTAATTGAGGAGGGGAAATATCCCAGCAGCTGGACATCCTAATAAAAACCCCTTTGCTAACACAATGGCTAAAATTAGGGGGAACTGGCCCCTGGAAATGGGCTCAGCCAGTGGCAATGCACTCCCATGGGTGAGGACGGGGAGGACAGGAGGAAAGGGAAGAGACAACTGATGGCTCACACGCCGTCAGCATAACCCCTGCTCTACTCCATAAGCTGGTTCCCGCTGACTCTGCTAGAAGAGTTTCCAGTAAGGTCAGCTCAGCAAGGACCATGCCTGCTCTGACCAGGAATTTGGGGCTGAAAGATGCTTCCAGAGTCCCCAGCACCATGGTTGCACGCTTGGATAAAACACTCCTGCACAGGGCGTCTCCCAACCAATGCTCAAACATGGGCAGAAGCCACCTTAACAGCTTCTAGGAGGAACCTGCTGAGAAGCACATAAAGTACTTACTTGGCTGGGCCACTGCCATCCGTTTTAGTCCACCTGCAAAGAGAAAAGAAGGTGTGAGGGATAGTGTCTCCTGCACCCCACAGAGTGACAGGGCCATGATGAGGGCCAGTGCCCCAATGCTGCTAGCCCAGCCTGGCTTTATGGAAAACAAAACAAGTGATGCACCTCTCCCTCAGCAAGAAGTCACCAGAAGAAACTAGTGCTGCTCCACAGTATCCAAGGGGACCTTGCACCCCTGCCCTCTGGAAGAGCGAGGAGGGCAGAGCAAGCAAAGACCCTGCTCCAAGCATCCCAGAAGTCTAAGGGAGTGAAAGGGGTAGGGATCACAAGCTCCTCTCAGGTTAGGACACTCACTTTCGTTCCTGGGGGTCCAAGTCACAGAAGGTGACAGTGTTGAGGGGGTAGTGTCGTCGGAAGAACAATCTGAAATACAAAGCAAGGAATGTCAGGGCCAGGGAGCCCCCACCTATGCCCCACCGCAGCCCAGCCCCACCAGCACAGAGGACACTCCTGAAGGTCTCCACTAGGATGCTCCAGAAGTCAAGAGCAAAGCCCAGCCCCACCCACGATGAGGTTCATGCCAGCGCAGGGACATCCTTCACCAACACACTCCCTGAATCACAGCGCCATTGGCTTGGGAAACCCAGGGATATGGCCAAGAAGGCTCTTACTTCCTCTGGTTGTCCGTTAAGGTGATGCCTTGTGCAGAGACTTTGAAGTGAACAATGGTAGCAGTGGGCGTGGGGTCAGCCACCAATGTCTCAGTGACAGCCTTCGCAATTGCCTGGGGGCCTGTCAGTGACTCCATCTCCACTGAATTAATGAAGAGGACGTTGCAGGCTGAAAAAGGACACAGCAGGTACAGGGTCAACCACTGCTCTGACCCACATTCACCGCACGACAGCCCCGCTCTACTCACCTGCGCCCTGTTTGAGGAGGTCCGTGGCAGAGTTGGTGGCTGATGCAGAGTCTTTCTTTTCCTCCATGGGATCTAGAACACATAGGATGGTTACTGCTGTTCTCTGCTTGGAAACCTACCTTGTCCGCACAGGCTGTAGGGACAGATGTAATGCCTTCTGGTCCTGACTCTCACCTCGGTCAGGAATGACCAGCTTGCAGGGTAGGGCCAAGGGCATGATGGAGTGCTGGTACACCAGAGCCGAGAGACAGCCTGGGGAGAGAGGGAAGGTGGTCAGCACAGGGCCAGGGACAGAGGTTTCCCTGGTGTTCGGTCATCATTGCTTTGGGTGGATGGGAACAAGTTTTTTGGTGGGTTTCTTCACTAATGGCCCCAATGCCACAGATGGTAATTCCTCTCGCTGAAACCACCATGTCCCCAGAGGGCTCAGGGAGTGGGCAGAGATGCCAGGGCCACGTTAGGAACAATGAATGGGGTAGAGGTCTTCATGCAGCACTTCAGAGAACATTTGGCATGGGATAAATGGAACAAGGGGAGCCCCTGCCCTCCACCTTGCCCCGCAGCATCATTTGTCCTACCTTTTTGTGTGCAGAAAGATACATACGTATCCATACATATACGCACGCTTGTTTGCTCTCATAAGCCCCAATGGCTCCAAATGCCCACAGGATTTAGTTACACAGGGACAAGAGGCAGTAAACAGGTTCTCTCAGACATCCGACAGCTCTCCCAACCCAACCCTGCAAGTGGGAAGCACACTGGGGACACTTACCAAAATTAGGCTCATTGGGACATCCTTTAAGTTTCACACCCCGTGGACTGGTCTCAATGAGGAAATGCCTCACCAGCTCGTTGGTCATGTCTCCTGGGAAGAAATGGGATGTTTTCACAACAGAGCCACCCGACTCCTCCTATTCCCGTGGGGAAACCAGTGCTCCAGCTTGAGGGAGGGGTCCCTACCACTAAGCACCCCCTGCTAAAATCCAGCCCTTTGCACAGGGTCAGCCCCAAGCCAGGCTCCTCCATGGTGTTGGTGGGTTGGAAAGGCTGCACCCATTTCATCATACCAAACCCTAACTTGTAGGTGCCCCTGAGTGCACCACAGCTCACGGCAGAGGGCATTTGGTGCTTCCTTGTGCCCTGGGAGGCCGGGATCCTGCCACATCAGCACATACCCAAGGGCACAACTGGCTCACCAGACCTGGCTGCCCGCTCACCCTGGCTGAATGATGGAAAACATCTCAGCGTGGGAAGGAGAAGGGCACACAATACCTTTTTTGTTCTGCTGCATGACCGTGGGAGGCGGAGAAGCTACTTTCATGGCGAGGCCATAGGCTCCCCGGAAGGAGTGGCTGTCTCGGATGATGAAAGCCCCTGGCTCCCTGTCCTTCAGCAGTGCAATGGCTGCAGGAGAGAATGGCAAAGCTCAGACATGATATGGTGAGAACCAACATACTCTCCAAAACCAGTAGGTGTGGGTTGGGATGGGGCACCCCGGCTCCACAGCCACATAGTTGGGCACCACAGTGTGTCCCCTGCACATCTGGATGGGGGTCTTGAGTGGGTCTGTGGCCAGGCAGGAGCTCATCTTACCCCACCTCTGCTGCCCTTGTGTGGGCATCTCAGAGCACCAATTCCCACCCAGCTGAGCTCTGAGCAACTAAGCACTGGAGAGCAGGCAGGAACTAGGAACCAAATGCTGGGACCTTGCTCCTGACAGCATCTTGCCCCCTTCATGTTCTACTCACTTATTTTAGCCATGTCTCCAAGACCACTCTGAGCTCTATCAACTCAAGATCTAGGTGCTTTGCACCCCAAGCTGCATAGGCCCACTGCACACTGCAGGGACTGGTACACCTCCACCAAGAGGAAGGTTTGAGAAGCCCACATCACACAAATCTGCAGCTGAGCAGGGCTTCGACCCCCAACTGCAATGGTCTGAACATCCATAATTCACCTTCACTCTCAAGCCAGCCCACAAAGGAAATCCTTGCTAATCCCTGTGACACACCCCAACTCCCAACTATGGCTCATTCAACCAAATCCTTCACCCTGTGTCATCTACCTACCCTGCTCCCTGGAGATATCTGGTTTGTACCAGTACTTGGAAGTGTCCTGCACAAACTTGACATTGGCACGAGTCTCAGGGCTGATGTCTGCAAGAAAGGGAAAAAAAGACAAGAAAAAAATTAAAAGATGCTGTATCTGAAACTCTACATCCAGCTAAAGCATGAATACCTCCACCTCCTTTCAGCTCCTACACACTGCACAAACCTCAACCCAATCCTCCATATCCAGACAGGCTGATCATCACCTGGAGCTTATGGGGCTGCTAGGCACCTAAATTTAAATCCAAGCACAAGGGCCCTTGAAGGGCTGTGCATTGGATGAGCCTCTTTGGCACAGAGCCAGAGACACAACAGGAATTCATCATTTAAAAGGAAGCTGGCCAGGCAAAATAAAAGCTGTTGGAGGAAAGAGGCATGTCCAGAGGATGGTGGGAAGATCCTCTAACTTCAGAGGACCTTCACTGCTGTCTAATGTTCAAGATTTGGCTCATGCATCATAAAAATAAATTTCTTCCATTACCTTTCCTTTGTGCAGAGGAGCCGAACAGGTCAACCTACCCTGGATAGAGCAGCCTCAGCCCCAGCCTGACTGTGCACTGCCCAGTGCCCAGCAGTGGCACAGCCCCAGTGAGAGCTGGTCCTCTGGCCGTGAAACTGTCATTTGCTCAGGCAGCATTTCCAACCACCTGCTTTCCAGCAAGCAAACAACCTGGAGGGCCAGATAGCATCTCTTCTGGAGACATGTTATCAACTCTGCAATCTGGTCACCTTTGGAGAGGCGGGGGGCTCGCTCCCCTCTCCAGGACACTCATTAATTGTTACAGGTTTTAATTGCTCATGCTTCCCCACTGGGAAAGGTCCCTGACCACAGATGTCACAAGGACAGTGTGGGTGCCAGCATGCCCACAAAGGGCTGCCCACTCAGCAGTGAAACTGGCCCAGCAGCCGGAGCCACCGCTGCCCCACAGCTTTATTCCCCTGGTCCTATCAGCCCAATCTTGGCGTCACCAAGGTGTCCTGTAACAGGAGCCAGCAAAGGAGTTTCAGGCACGGCAGCACCCAGGACTCGGCACACCATTTGAGATGAGGAGGCAGTGCCACAACAGTCTCAGTCTGGTAAAGCCCACAGGGAATGGAGCCGGGATGTCAGCGCATCCCCACGGCAGAGAAAAGTCGCCTCTGGGAGCTTTGATGTCCCCATACACATCTCTGGTGCTGTTTACACGAGCAATGCCGGTCGGTGTTTTTCCTGTTTGGATTTGTCAGAAAGCACAGGAAATGGCCCAAGCCCCAGCGGTGCCGCCAGTTTGCGGATGGACAGCAGGGGTAAATCAGGACATGGCTGCAACCTCACTCCCACCAGTCGGCAGGGAGGAGGCAGGAAGAGTCCTGAGCAGGGTGGGCAGATTGTGGGGACCTCTGAGGGCATTCCTTACCTGGCATGGAAAACTTGGAGAAGTCTGGCAGAGTGTGGGAGAAGGTGACAGTACTCCCACCACTGGGGCTGGACATGCCGCTGGAGAGGGGTGAGGACACCTTGCCATTGACAGTGGCATAGTTGGGGAGGCTGTTGGACCGGTCCCCAGCCGACATCCGGCGCTTCTCAGGCAGCGCGGGCTGCGACGTGGGGCTGCCCTGGCGGTAGGCAGCCGAGTCCGGGGAGGAGGAGTGTGGTGTGCTCGATCCAGGGTAGTATGCCGGTGAGACAGGAAAGGACGGCGTGGAGGGAGGCTGGTAGCCAGAGGAGCTGCTCTGCCGAGACAGTGTCAGGACAGGGGGCTGCCCGTGGGGACAGCTGCTGCAGCTTGATGCCTGGCCAGGCTAGGGCTCCCCGGTGGGGCCACCAGGGTTGCCATGGGCTGCCATAGCATGTCTGCCCAGCCCAGGGCTGCCAGGTGCACCACTCATGCTGGGGTTGATGGGTCTTCGCCCGAAGCCAGGGCTGGGGCTGGGGGGGGTATGCGTAGCCACTGTCCGGTGCAGGGTGCGGGGGCTCCCTGGCACGCCAGGCACCCCTACCACATTGACCTGTGGCTGTGACCGAGCTTGGGGTTCTGGCTGGAGGACAGCTCGGCCATCAGGGTAATCGGGACTGCTGTATGCCGAGCCCGGGACCCCTCCTTGGACCGTTGCAAAGGAAGATGGAGACGAGTTTTGGTAGCTGCTGTGAGCAGAAGGCATCTGTGAGCCAACAGGCGACCGGTACACAGGCTCAACCGAGGTGTGGGGAGGTGTAACCGTGCCATGGGGGCTGCCCTCCGATGGGTAGCTGCGGAGGGAGGCCCTGAGGGGACATGAAGAAAAGGAGGAATCAGCTCC